TTAGTCCTTGACTTCATTTGATTTTCACCCAGATCAGATCTTGTGTCATCAACAGGGTTGATGAGTATTTTGTGATTTCAGGCCAGTTACCCATTTCCTTTAGGTCATACTTTCCCTGTCTCTATCCTCTAAAATAAACAGCCCTCCCTTCCCAGCTCCTCTTGAAACTTTGACTTCTAATGTAGACCAGAAGGGTTGGCCTTTTGCTTTGAGTTCCTCCTGGAGAACCAGGATTCTGCCCTCCCAAGTCAGCAGGAGCCAGGCTGTCTGCTTTATCATTCTAAGGAAGGCCTTTGCAAATCAAAAGTTAGGCTCTGCCTCCTGAGAAATATGGCTCTCTCACTTGGAAGAGGGAGGAAGAGGACGGGCTCCCTGCATATGAATGGCCGTCACTCCACGGAACTGTCCTGGTGCTAAGAATGTTACCTGCGACCCTGGGTTCCCAGAGGGTGCACGGTTGTAAAAGAAAGGATTCGAATTTATGAGGTGGCAGGCCTGAATTCAAATCTACCTCCGTGTGTTTAATTTTAGGCTGGGGTGCTTTCTCTTCGCTGAGCCAGTTTCCTTAGTAGTAAGAGGAGAATATCTGTGTTGCTGAAACTCTTTGTTGGGGGTGGTGGTGCTGAGGATTGAACCCAGGGCCTTGTCCATGCTAAGCATGTGCCTTACCTCTGGGCTACGCCACCAGTCGCCAGTCTCTAATTGGGTCGTTCTGAGGATTGAAGGAGGTAGTATCTGCTAAGCCCTGGCACTCCGCAAGTGCTCAATTACCCCCTTTCCATGTGGTTCCCTTAGCTCTATGGTCACCAACCCCAGTGAGGTGAAGCATAGGAGACTCTGGGAACAAGCTTTTAAGGTTTTCTTAGGTGAGTCCCTAATTCTGCCCCATCAAAGGTCAGATGGGAGGAGGAAAAGAAGGCACGGGAGAAAAAGCTTTGCAGGGGCCTGGCATGCGCATTTTCTCATCTAACCTAGACTAAGGAAACACAGGAGTCCAGCGAGCTCAGGGGCACACACCTACAATCACAGCAATGGGAGGCTGAGGCAAGAGGATTGGTGTGAGTTCGAGGCCAGCCTGGGCTACATAGTGAGTTCAAGACCAGCCTGAACTGCATAAGGAGACCCTGTCTCTAAACACACACACACACACACACACACACACACACACACACACGCACGCATGCACACACACACGCACACACACACGCACACACACACAAAACCTAAACAGGAGTTCATTCTCCAGGTGCAGTGGTGCTGCTTCCGGGTTTACTGAAATGTGGGACTAGGCTCCCGAACGGGTTTCCCTTACCAAGCTGATCCCCTTTGCAACAGGGTTTCAAGATCCACCATCAAGCTGAGGCCAGTCTGCCTGGCTGGGAGCCTGAACCTACCAACCGTGGGGGTTTTATTGTTCTGTCACCTTAATGATAGACGGCTTGTTAAGGAGGGACCAAAAGGGAAGGGGCATGGGGTTGTAACTAATGAATTTGAATGATGTTGTATCGGCCTAGAATGAATCCCTGACAGAGAGGTGATGGATGTAGAGAAATCTAAATTCCTTTAGTTTCTGGCCAGGGTCGAAGTGAGAAGGGTGGTTGGTGTGAGTGATTGCTCTGAAGGTAAGACGGATGAGAAATGGGAGAAATTTGGAAGAAAAACTGGGAGACTCTGAGCTTTTTGGGGAAGCAGACATACTTTTCACGGAATTCTGGGTTTTCTTAGTGAAAAGCTCTGATATTATCCCACCGTAAACCCAAGCCTTGTTTCCTTGGAATGGCCATTTGAGCAGGATACCGGGGATGGTTGTGCTTCTGAAAATCCCTCTTCAGATTATTTGGGTCTTGTCAGCAAGGTCCTGGGACAGTGTCCAAGCACTAGGCGCCCACACGCTGTGGCTAGATTCTGGCAGGAACGAGTGGAGAACATCTTGCTCCTTCTCTTAGCACAGTGTCACAAGTGTCACATTTCTGAACGGGTCCCGTGGCATCCGTCTTTACTGAGCGTTTAACCTCAGGACTGGATGACTTTATGTTTTGTTCTTATTTTTTCTCTAAGCCCCTTGGAGATGATCTTGGGCTGTTTCTTCACGACGCTCGCCCTTCCTCTCTTTCTAGTCTCCCCTCCGCCACCACACAGTTCACAGTCTGCACATTTTCTTGCTGTGTTTGTTTTGCAGTGCTGGGGATCACACCCAGGGCCTCACACCCCGGGGAAGCTTGGCGCCGCCGAGCCCAGCCCCGCAGTGGGTACATCCACCCCCTGGACACGGTTTTACTTCGTAGCCCGGGCTGGCCTCAGATCCCTGGCCGTCCTTCTGCCTCAGCCTCCCAAGTACTGGGCGGACAGGTGTGCACCACCACGCCCGGGCTGCAGTGGGCTTTTAACCTTCCTTGAAAGAGGGACAGAGCAAAAACCTTCCATGTCTCTGATTTAGGCTGCATTTTTATGAATTTGTCATTGTCCGTGACACCTGTGGCAGTCTCAAACGCGCTGGAAGTAATAAAGCTGAGATTGGATTTTTAAAGCATCCGCTCATAGCTTCTCTTGCAATACCAACTTCCTAATGTCCATTTCACCTTCTCATTGAAAACAAAATATTATTCCCTGTAGGCATTTTCAAAATACAATAAGGCCTCAGCTCAGGAGCATTTCTGTTCGCAAACAAATCGGTTTGCAAGCAAAGCATTCAGCAAAATTTTGCTTCCATTCTCAAACTCTGTATCAGGTGACAGACGTGATCACGGGTGCCTTCCCCACACAAGCACAAGTGCTGCTGTCTTCTCCATAACCGTAATGCAAAGTAAGTCCATAAACCAAGGTGCCACTGTAACACTGAATTCTTTCTGATAATAAAAGTACTTGTTTAAACCGGGCTTGGTGGCGTACGCTTGTAATCCCAGCACTCAGGAGGCTGAGGCAGGAGGATCACTGTGAGTTC